TGGCATTGAAACTTTACCTAAGTACATAAAGCTGACACTAGAAAAGTTGGCTCTCTTTCTTCCTGTTCATGAGTAAGTGGTCATAATCTCATTAGAATCTGAGTGGTAGGGTAGCAGGGATCATGTAGAAAGCTACCAATGGGAGACAGATCCAGGAGACCAGGATGTTATCTTTATGGCTCACTGAATACAAGAAGTACAGTACAGACAGGGCATCTCTGGAAATTCATTTCAGAGAAGGCAACCATGCCCTGGGCTTCTCCTTTGTAATCTTTGTTCAACTGTTTAAGATGTTAGCAGCCCTTCCTTAAGCCAGGTAGCCACCAGCTCTACAAGTACTCAAATATTGCCCACCTCATGTGTTCCTGACTTGTCATCTTTCACATTTTGAAGGGCGAATATTTTCCATAAGCATTCACAACATTTTCTACCTTTCTGGTGATCTGCAGAACTGTTACTAGCAATTTTTGCACCTGGGATAAGTGACGTCAATCAATATCAACCAGTAAACATTTGTGAAGTGCCTACTATGTGCTGGTCACTGTGCTAAGTGCTAGGGATACAAAAAGAGGCAAAAGGCAGTCCCTGCCCTCAAGGGGCTTACAATCTAACGGGGCAGGCAACATGCAAAACAATGGTATGAATTTTACCTTCCCAAAAACTTAAGATAAATTCAACTAAATAGAGGAAAGTGAAGTGTCGCACAGTGACCCTGAGACACTGTCCTATTAGTGAACATGGGAGTAAATACCCTGGAACATCAGCCCCTGAGGATGGAGTCCATGCTGATAAGTGATATTCTTCCCCAAGGGGTCAGTCCAAAGAATAGCTGATCTGTAGTTTGACCACAGGGTGAAGAAGTGTGCTATCTAGCAGTTTCTTCTTTTAATTCACACAGTCAATAAGCATTTATTAAGTGCTGACCATGGACCAGGTATAACTAGTTTTGCTAAATAGTTGCTAATCTTAATTAGTTCTCTGCTGCCAAAGGTGGACATGCTGTCCCTCTGTAGTTTGCATGCTGGAACAAAGCCCTGATCACTCTACCTTAGTTATGGCTCTGCTATTTTGGATAACAGTAAGTCAGCAGTAGACAAAAGTGGACCCAATTTTGGAGTCAGAAGTGACCCAATGAGATAAAAACGAAATACCAGTTTCAAAATATTACAAATGGATTTTGAGGTACTCAATCTGGTTACACTGTGAGAGAACTAACCTATGATGAAAATACAGGTGTGCTATTGTTATGGAGAGCTCAGCCTAGGCCTAGTGCTGGAAGGGGGATGGACGAGTGTAAAAAGAACACTTATCCCCAAGGGTCCAGAGAGGACCCTCTGCCAGTAAGAGGAACAAAAACAAATGGCTGAAACTATTTAATGCCACAAGCCTGTGCCAAACTAACCAAATAACAAGAGACCAGGTGCTTATATAGAGTTTGTACACGCAGGATTTATCACACTGTAGAAAAGATGAGTTATCCCTCCAAGGGCCTCTTGGATGTGAAATTCTGACACTGGGGGAAGTGTTTTGCCTGAGAAGACAATGTAGGAATGAAGCTGGAAGAACTCCACCCCACTCCATCTAATCCTACCCCACCCTTGTATCTGGCCCACTGTTCTTGTTATATCTTGATTACCGGAGGAGAGCTTCCTTAACGATGCCCTCAAAGGGGCTGCCGTGGGTGGGGTGCCCCATTCTGTCACACTCTCTTAACTAAAACTGTTTTAAAGCAGGTTCTATCACCTAGCTGCTCTAATCAAGCCTAGAACCGGGAAATCGTGCTTCTGGTTACAGAGGCTATAGACCCTCAGTTACTCTGTTAGCGACTACAGCTGACAGCAATCTACCCAAGTAATTATTCATCTCCGGCAGCCCCTCCTTTTATGGAGAAGAAATGGAGGAGAACGGTGATATATGAGTAAATAGATAGATAGTTGGCACAGATTTGCCCCTGGTGAGGTGAAGTAATAAAGATGACAGATATTCCAGTTCATTCTGGGACAAGGATAACCTTGTTAAAAAAAAATTATAGGCTGTCAATTTTTATATTTTTGTATTTTAAGGCAGAGGGAGTTCAGGCCATAAAAACTGAAGATTCCTTAATTATTTTTCCTTTTCCTACCTACCTACTGTGACTAACATTTAGTATCAATTTTCACTTTATACTTGGCCAAGTATGTGTTTTATATGTCCAGAATATCAATGTCTGGTTAAATTGCTTATACTTCAAACAAGCTAATTGTTTCCTTATCTAATAAATGCAGCCATAATTATAGGCTGTCAGTAGCCATTAATGAATAAAACTGGTGAGGATTTCACAAGGTATGGATTTTTCATCCCCAACACACTGGGGAGCCAAATTCTTCAACATTTCCACAGGGAAATACCTTTGATCAAGGCATAAAGCTAAACCTAAGCTATCATTTCACCTTTGAAACTGAAACACAAACAGAAGAACAATTAAATACTTTCCTAACTATTCTTCCTTACTAAGGATATAAACTGATATTCACTTTCTTTAGCCTTCATGTGTGAGTACATTTATATGGTGTTCAGTGCCATGGAAAATGCTTTGCGCAGAGTCCAACAAAAGAAGGGTTCCATATTGATGTTTTTCCCCCCCCCGGATGTTCCTATTTCAGGATAACATTGCGCTAGTAGCTGAGAAGTGGGGTGGGGAGGAAAAGGGAGGGAGGGAGAGGGACAGGGAGAGGAAAAGGCAGGGAGGGAAAGGGAGATAGAGAAGGAGAGGGAGAAGAAGAGAGCTTGGATAGGCATTGCATAAGGACAAGAAGTTGGGGTCTGAAATTGAATAGGAGGAAAAAAATTGAGCTGGATCCCATTTGGAAATTTAGCTGGGGGTGGGGTGGCATAGGAACAGTATGAATGCAGATATGGAGGAGAGGGGAAAGGGTAGCAACAAATAGGATGGTCTTATTATGGTATCAGGAGAGAGGGTGGCTTGCTCCCCTCCCCCCGCAGGGGTAAGGTGTAAGGTGGACCTTGACAATATAACAATATAGAAACAATATAGCCTGGGGATCGTAAACCCATGCAGCAGCATAGGCTAACAGAGGAAACATGATCTGGTTCTTGGCATGGGCTTTGCCACCAACAGTTTTTCTTTGGAGAAATTTCTGCATCTCTCTGAATCTTGGCAGCTAAGTGGTGCAGGAGATAGAGTGCTGGACTGGGAGTCGAGAAGACCTGTACTAGCTATATGACTCTGGACAAATCACTAACCTCTCTCAGCTTCATTTGTAAAATAAGGAAGATCCCAAAAGCCTCAAAGGTCTCATCCAGCTCTAAATCCATGACTTGTAGTTTTTCATCTGTAAAATGGGAGTATTGGAGGTGACTTCTCTCTCTCCACTAAACTTCTATATTACCTGTATATTACTGTATATTACTTGTATATTACTTGTATATTTCCTCTCTTACTACACTTTAGAGTCTACTTTGTATTATATAGTCAATGATTAGTTTCTTTCAGAGCTTAATTTAAGCCTCACAACTCACCTCAACTTCAAAATTACCTGGTATTTTTTTTTGTCAGATCTGTGATTTCACTGATGTAGGGAATTTCCAGTAAGGAGACTCCCTCCACCAATGAAGTTAAGCAATGTATAGTCTTAGAGGATTGCCTGAGGTATTGGGAGATAAAATCACTTTGCCCACAGTCACACACCCAGTATGTGTTAAAAGGTAAGACTTGACATCAGGTTTTCCTGAATCTTAGACTGGCTCTCCATCCATTAGGCTTCACTACCTCTTGTATATTTTCCATAATTTGTGTGTATGTATACATATGTATTTATATATATATAATGTTATGTATGTATGTGTGTGTGTATGTGTGTGTGTGTGTGTGTGTGTATACACATTATGTATGTATGTACGTTGGGCCACTAGATGGCACAGTGGATAGAGTGCTGGGCTGGGAGTGAAGAAGACTCCTCTTCCTGAGTTCAAATCCAGTCTCAGACACTTACTAGCTGTGAGACCCTGGGCAAGTCACGTCACCCTATTTGGCTTAGTTTCCTCATCTGTAAAACGAGCAGGAAAAAGGAATAGCAAACCATTCCAGTATCTTTGTCAAGAAAATCCCAAATGGGGTCATGAAGAGTTGGATACTGATGAAAAATGACTGAACAACAACAAAATATACATGTAGGTATATGTGTGTATGTGTATATGTATCTGTATATGAAAGTATACATATAAACACAAATACATACATATATACACATATATACAAATATATGAATATATATCTATATATACCTATACACACATACACATTGATTTCCCCTATAAAATGTAAGTTCCTAGAGGGGAGGGACTATTCATTTTTGTCTTTGTAGACACCACTTAGCAGAGTGCCTAGCACATAGTCGGTGCCTAATGAGTGCTTAATAAGTGTTGATTTAGAACTACGCAGCTGGCTTTCTATCTTCTACCCCACATTGTTCTCATATGTTCTTTATGTATTTTTTACAAACTCATATTTGTATGTTTGTCTTCTCTCATAGAATGTACACTCTTTGATAGCAGAGACTATATTACCCAGCACATAGTAGGGCTTAATTGATTCTTGTTGCTTGATTTTATCCCCTTCACTCAAGAATCTGAAATATTTCTGTAAGTTCCCTTTACTCACTCATGCCTAAAACAGTGAGTACCTTGCACAAAATGGCCACTCAATAAGTAATGATTGAGTGAATGATGCATTTCCTTCGAGCTCTAAATTTTTTTTTTGATATTGCAGAACTCTAAAATAAGATGGAAATCACAAATCAGGGTGGGAGGTGGGGGAAGTGGGGGACCCCCAGCAGGAAGAGCCACAGGAATCACGACCAGTTTTGGTCCTTTCATTGACTTAGCAATCTGCCTTTCACCAATTGGTTCCCTCTTCTCTCTCATCCCCCCAGATGCCATTCAAAGGGTTTCGGGGCCCCTGCTAAGAAGGAGCCTTTGTAAATTCACAGGGAATCCCTCACCGTGCTGGATGATACCGTGCTCCAGAAGCCTGTGACAAAGTTGCTCGGCTTCATTCCTGGTGGTAGCCTCTCCTTCCTGAACCAGCCAATCGAGGAGCTCGGAGGCCATGAAGGTCCGCTCATACTTGATGCCTTCCTCCTCCCTCGGCTGCAAGAGCGTGTTTTCAGAACTCATCAGCCTGTTGGGAGAGGTGGGGGATAAGCAGAGAGGAAAAGAAAAGAAATGAACACACGCTCAGGACAAATGGCTCTGTAAGGTATCATGACCAAGAAGGCTGCCACAACATCAGATGCATCTGTCCAGGGCCTGCCCCAGATATCATTCCAAACAGTGAGGATTGACTCAGGAATGAACAAGAGGGATTCTCGGGTGGCAAGTGGATGGAGCTGAAGCGATATCAGTCCACAGCACTGCCACTGGTAGACATTAATCTTAGCCATCTTTAGAAAGGATTATAAGCCACTTCCCCCTGCCTTTAAGAGAAGAAATTAGCCCATTGTTTCTCACTGACTTTGGTGGAAGTATTTATTTCCGCCAGGGCACTTCCTTGAAGGGCTGTGCTAATTAAGAAACCCAGGGAAATCACCCCTTTTCAACCCTCTTCTTAGATATCCTGTTTCTCACACCTCTTAGAAAGCCAAAACCAGCTTATCTTCTCTTTCTTTAAAAGCCATTATTGATAAGGTCTTGCCTTCCATACTCATTCTGACTTCTCTTTCAATAGCCTTCTCCATTTTACCCGATTTTAACATTCCTCATTTTCCATCCCCGCTGCTAAGGATTGCAAAACCAAACCAAACAAACCAACAAAAACAAAACCATAGACAGTCACTAACAACACCTAATTCAACTTCATTTAGAAAATGAGGAAACTGGGGTTTCAAGAGTGGGAGTGGCTTCTGCCACAGGACTGGTTTGGCTGATGCTGGTCTAGACCCGGGTCTTCTGACTTCTAATCTTCTTCCTGTACTAAGATGCCATGCATGTGCTTTATAAGCATTTCATTGGGTGGTTATTGTTGTTTATAGGGTTACCTGTTTCCTCTCTACATTGTTCACACAGACATCTTCCACAAACTCCTGGGAGACAAAGACCTGCCCTTTTTTGGGGGGGGGGGCTAGGCAATGGGGTTAAGTGACTTGCCCAGGGTCACACAGCTAGTAAGTGTTAAATGTTTTGGTCTGAGGACAGATTTGAACTCAGGTCCTCCTGACTTCAGGGCTGGTGCTCTATCCACTGCACCACCTAGCTGCCCCCAAGACCTGCCCTTTTAAAGTGATTTATTTAGAACTATATATAATGGGCAGCTAGGTGGTACAGTGGATAGATCAACAAGCCTGCAGTCAGGAAGACCTGAGTTCAAATAGGGCCTCAGACACTTCCTAGCTGCGTGACTCTGGGCAAGTCACTTCATTCTGTTTGCCTCAGTTTCCTCATCTGTCAAATGAGCTGAAGAAGGAAATGGAAAACCATTCCAGTATCTTTGCCAAGAAAATCCCAAAAGGGATGGAGAGTTGGACATAACTGATAATGACTAAATAACAAGTGTATGATGAATTTAGGAACTAATTATCTTTGGTGATAACGAGGACCTCTCCTCACAGTCATGTGATTTCTTTCACTGTGAAAAACTAAAACTTTAAAATTCTACTATTATGGATGGCCCAGTGCAAAGAACCTAGGTGTGAAAGTCAGGAAACTTGGTTCTAGACACAGCTGGGCAACCATAGGGAGGTCACTTAACCTCTCTGTGCTTCAGTTTCTTTATATGCAAGTTTGGGTTTCTTCGGGGTGGGGGGGTGGGATAGTACCTCCCCTATCTTTTTCATCTGAATGTTATAAAGCAAAACTAAGATAACAGGCATATTAAACAGTTTGAAAGATTAAAAAATACACAAATGCAGGGTGTGATTGCTAATAATAATATTAACATACTGATAAGTATCTAATGAACACTAGGTATTAAATAAAGCTCATTAAAGCCCTTATGTCCATATATTTTTTAAATATCATCACTTGTATTTCAACAGTTTTCTCAAGTTAATCCTCTTTTGAAGAGAGACTTGGCTGCTAGCCCAGGGTAATAATAGCAAATTGTGTAATCTTGTTCTTTACATTTGGGCATTTCTCTTCACACTCTTTTCAGTCTTATTTCATCATATTCCTCTTTCCCAAGAATGGGAAGTAGCCTAGTACAGTGGAAAAGGTCCTGGATTTGGAGTCAGAGGACCTAGGTTTTAATCCTGGTTCTGTCACTCACTCCTGATGTGATCTTGATGGGACTTAGTATCTCTGGGGCCTCAGTTTCTCCTCTTTTGTAAAATAGTTAGATAAGTGAGTTCTAAGATCCCTTCCAGCTCTAAATCTGAAATTGAGTAAACTAAAGACAAAGCATTTATTAAGTACCTACTTTGTGGCAGGCACTGGGGATTAAAAACACAAAAGTGAGACAGTCCTTGCCCTCAGGGAGCTTATATTCTAATAAAGGTGAGGAAGTTTTCGTTTGGGAACTCACAAGAATGGTGAGCATAGAGAAAAAGCAGCATGGTACAAGGAATCTTAACCTTTTTTGTATCATGGACCCTTGGGGACATCTGGTGACATCCCCGGACCTCTTCTCAGAATCAGGTTTTTAAATATAATAATAAAATTCGAGGGGCAGCTAGGTGGTGCAGTGGATAGAGTGCTGGCCCTGGAGTCAAGAGGACCTGAGTTCAAATCCAGCCTCAGACACTTACTAGCCGTGTGACCCTGGGCAAGTCACTTAACCCTGTTTGCCTTAGTTTCATAGTCTGGAGAAGGAAATGGCAAACCACTCCAGGATCTTTGCCAAAAAAACTTCAAATGAGGTCATGACAAGTTGGGCAAGACTGAAATAACTGAATGACAACAAATAAAATGCAGAGTATTACACTGGAAATCAATCATATTGAAATAGTTATCAAAATATTTTTTTTAAAACAAGTTCACAGATCCCAGATTAAAAACTTCAGGGTAGAAGAAAGAGGTCTGGATTGTAGTTGGGACAGAACTAGATTCAAACTCTGCCTCTAGTACTTATTAGCTGTGTAGCAATGGGTAAGTCACTCAACTTTCCCGAGCCTCAGTGTTCCCATCTGTAAAAGGGCAATGATGACAACTGTAATATTTACTTAACCAACCTATTCCAAGGACCAAATGAGATAATCCAACAATAAATGTAAGGCATTTTAAATGATTTTAAAATTCTTATTTATTTTCACTAGTGCCCTTCATGCTCCAGAAAAAATTGTACTACATTGACCTTCTCCTGCCTCTGTGCATGGGCACCCTCATTCCCGAAAGAAAATTCTTCCTTTTGCTTCCTCAGTCCCATCTCTACTTACTGAAATCCTTTCCTCCTTTCAAAGCCTGCCTCAGGTGTCATTGACTCCAGAAAGTCTTCCCAAATTTCCCTTTCCTTGAAAGTTTAGTGCAATTCTGTTTTTCTTCTTCCTTAGAGTTTTTCATTTGCTAATTAATGTATCCTAATTTCCTAATCTGTATCCATGTCTCACTCTTACAATATTATAAGGTCTGTGATGGCAAGGATTATACAACCTTTTTCCATTTTTGTATCCCCAGTGCCTAACACAATCCTTTGCAGATGGTAGGCTCTTAAAAACATTTGTTGAAGTGAATAATTACACATGACATTATATAATCTCAGCAGTTTGACTGCCTTTGGTATAGAAATCAGTCATTAGTAGTATGATCTTAATCTTCCTTATTTCATTTCCTCTTCTTAATGAACCAGCTCACTTTCCTAGGCAAGGAAAATCATTTACTGGAGTTAGCCTTAGGGCTAATCTACATTAAGTGTTGCACGTTATTAAGTCAACTTCTTCCTTTGTCTAAAAATAAAAATTAAAGGGTTATTTAATTATGCTCTTGTATCACAGATTTTGTGTCCCCTATTGACTGAACAGATCACTTTTCCTTTTTACAAAGTTAAATAAATGGGTACTTGAACCAGAGAATAATTAGCCAGCGCATAAATTAGATTTCCGTTTATATTTCACAGAACACACTCTTAGAGTTGGAAGGGGCCTCAGACGCCATCCAGCCCAAACTCTAACTGAACAAGAATCCCCTGTTCAATTCATCTGACAATTAGCCACCAGTCCTCTGACTGAAGATTCCCCAGTAAGGGGGTACCCCAACACTTCCTGTCTGAGGTAACTCATTCCACTTTGGGAGAGCTCTACTTGTTATGGAGTTTTTCCAAAGTTCGCCTCTGATTCATATTTTTCTTGGAGGCTTTGGATGTAGGAGCTTTGACTTTGTTGTCTTCTTCTGGTTGTATGTTTTGATCTTCTTTATTACCAAAGAAGGGTTCTATGGTCTGACTTTTTTTTCGCCTTTGTTTGCTCACGATCCTCGCCAATTAAGGCTAAATATCCCTAATTCCTTCAGGTGATCGTCACATGGGATGACTTCGAAGCTCTTCAATATCCTTTCCAAAAGGTGTGGAGTGAAAACCCCAGATGAAGTCTGGTCAGGGCAAAGACGCTTCATGACCCCATTTGGGGTTTTCTTGGCAAAGACACTAGAGTGGTTTGCCATTTCCTTCTCTAGCTCATTTTACAGATGAGGCAACTAAGGGTTAAGTGACTTGCCCAAAGTCACACAGCTAGTAAATGTGTCAGGCCAGCTTTTAAATCAGGAAAAAGAATCTTTCTAACTCGAGGCCCAGCGCTCTATCCACTGTGACACCAAGCTGCTCCATTCTTAGGGGCTAACCCTCTCTAATTTAGCCCAAGAACATCATGGATGCCATTGCATACTGCTGATTTATGTTGATCGTGTGGTCCACTAACATTCCCAGATCTTTTTCAGACAAACTGCTCTCTAACCATACTCCCCTATTTTGTCCTTGGGTTAAAACAAACAAAAAACTGACTTCATGAGTATAAGGCTTTATATTTACCCCTATTAATTTTTTAAAATTAAATTCAGGTCACTATTTTAGCCCAGGGATCAGCGAACTATGAGCTGGGGACCAATTTCAGCTTGCCTGTTTTTGTATTTATATTTCAAAAATATAAAAACTCTTTATTTTAAAATCTAAAACCATTTTTAGCTGAACAAAAATGGTCAGTGGGCACTTGCCACTGTTTGCTAACCCCGTGCTCTATCCTATCATGATCTTTCTGCATT